GACATTTTGGATTACCATAACGGTGACCTACTGGTTTCTATCTCAGTGACATTTGGTGCTACCTACATCTCCCACCTCCTTCGTCTCTCCTCCCACCTCTCATCTGTGTATGTGTGTACGAGGTCTAGGCATCGTCTATGCTTGGCCCAGACCCCACCATCTCACGATTGTATGTGTGTGGAGTGTGGAGTGATATCTATGTGAGTCAGTCTATGTGAGTCAGTCCGTTTATCAGACTCCCGCTGCATATATGTTCATCCTACATTGGTTGATCTTTGGTTCTGCCCATACTCATTGAAGTATGTAACAGTTTTGGTATCGGAGCAGACCATATTACGGATCTGCTCACCACGTAAGTCTGATTTAGGAAGTAGATTGCTTTTTCAATCTTCCAAATCAGCACTGTATTACTATCAAGTTCAAAGTTGCAAATTTTTTTTTCTTTTTTCGGCATTCTACTTATTTCGGCATTTCCGTTTTATTCGGTATTCGGACTTATAATTCGGATTTCTGTTTTATTCCGGTATGCTGTTTATTTAGGTTCCGATCAAGTGATACTAATCCGATAATCTGTTAGGTTCGGATTTCTGATGTATGTTAAACGTTATTAGGGTTGAATCAGTATCCGTTGAAATTCGGCATTCTGATTTTCCATTCAGCATTTCGTTTTGATTTCGGCATTCTGTTGTAGACCCTACATTTCGTTTTCCTTATGGTATTTCCATTTTCTTTCAGTATTGGAAAGTAGGGTTACGAAAATTTTGGTTATTCGATCAACTTGGGAATTCCGAACGTTTTGGAACCGTAATACCGGAAATTCTGCGGAAACACGGAAAATTAGGGTTGGGCCCGAAATTTTCGCGAAAATTTTTTCTTTTTCCTTGTTGGAGAAATTCCGAAAACGGATGTAGGCCTTTAAAAATCGGATTTTGACGGTGGAAATTCCCGAAAATTTACGTTTTTGAAAATTCGAGTGTTTTTCTCCGGATTTTTTCGATTTTTTTTTTTTTTGGCAACTTAATCCGAATCTGACCCTCACATTGCAACTTCCGGGTAGTTCACTAATTAACGGTGAACTCCCGGACCATTATTGATCTCAACAGATACCTAATCTTAATAACAATTCCAATTCGTTCATTATCATTATTGCAAATATTGTTTTGATTGATTATTATTATTGCAAATATTGCGGTATTGGTTACCATTAGGAATGATTCTTTCGTTATTTATCATTAATTAATTTTATTGATTAAATATTTCGTTATTACTTGTTCTTATTACGAATTTTTGGAATTGTTTACGGGAAATTATTATTTTTTCTGTTTTGATTAGGTGTCTACAGTCCATCAGTGGGACAGGGGACTGTATGCGTATTGTTTGATTGTTCTACCCCTGTTCCCACTCTCCCTACCCTCCCCGTATTCTGTGACCACCGGGACCTCTCAAGTACCGCATCAGTTCATACTGATGTCGATGGAACAGGACACCAGGGCACTGCCACGACGCAGTGCCAGGCTCGCAGTTCGTGCTCGACCTATGGTACCTCCACGAACCAAGGCTCAGCAACAGAGACTCAGCAGGCGGACGACTCCAGCAGCATCGAGTACAGCATTGACGGTACCGGTTACCGCCGGAGTTCTTCCCGCATGCCCGGTCCAAGGGGCCGGTGAGCCGTTGGCAGCTTACCTTCAGCGGGTACAGGCATTCACAGATGCCGTAGCTACCGCAAAGGCACAAGAGGAGGCAGCAGAGGTAGAACGTCAGCGGCTGGCCAATGAGGCGGCAGCCCAAGCTCGGCACACTGCTGAGGCTGACGCAGCAGCACGAGATCAACGGAATGCCGGCACACTGCTGAGGCTGACGCAGCAGCACGAGATCAACGGAATGCCGCCAGCACGGAGTCCCTGATTCATAGTGAGAATCAGTGGACAACCTTCCTCCAAGGCATGGTCTTTGTGCCTTCGGACGTGCAGGCGGATCAGACACCGGCGGAGGCAGAGAGGACTCACCTGGCTAACTTGATGCTGGGCATGATGAGAGGAATCATGTGGAATAACACACTGCTGCAGGCACATCTGCGCACGGAACAACAGCAAAGACAGAAGTACCAGCAAGACATTGCTGTTTTAACGGCTGCCATCCGCGCCGAAGCTTCACAGCAGCAGCAACAGCAGCAGTTGTTGAACTCCGCTCTCGCACGCATCAACAACATTGAGGCTATGGCCTCAGCAGCGCCAGGCTGCACGACGGACGCGGCGAAGCAGCTCAACGAGCGCATCGATCACGTCGTCACTATCATCGGCGAGTTAGGCGATTTCACCAGCCCGGCCACAATCAGCAGCACGGTGGCCGCCATCAAGACGGACATCACCAAGCTGCAGACGAGACCGGACGCCGGTACGAAGACTTACAAGATGCCGCACTTCGACATCAGCAAGTTCGACGACTACAACAAGTCGGACGCCTTGACATGGTGGCAATGTTTCCTCACGGAAGCATCATGCCGCACTGTCCCGGCGGACGACATGATGAAGGCGCTCTACTTACAACTGATTGGAGGAGCGCAGGCATGGTTGAATCATCTGGCGGCTACCAAGAAATGCACCATCGCCGAACTCCACACGCACATTCCGTGGAAGGAGTTCGAGAAGCTATGGCTCACCCGGTTCATGGTTCGCAACGTCGTGAAGGCAGCCATGAACGAGGTGTACACCTGCTCTCAAGGTAGTATGCCAACTCGAGACTGGACAACTAAGTGGCAGAAGATAGTGACCACGCCAGGCTTCGATTTGAGTTTTACCAATCAACGATCCGAGTTCTTCTCGCGATCGTGCGCAGGACTGCGATCGGCAATCGGCAACGAGTACGATTATGATTCATTCCAGGCCATTCTGGATCGGGCGAACTTAGTCATCCAGACGGATGACAAGGCCACAAACGAACGGCAGTCCCAGCCGCATTATGTGGCTAAGCAGGGCTATCAACAACCGACACACAACAATGTCGTGATTTCTGAAGAAACAGTCGATCTCCACACTGCAGCAGCATCCTCGAGTGATGGAGAAATTGTAGCAGCGCTCCCGCCGAAGCGTCCCAAGAGAGTTCAGAAGAACAAGCCGACACAAGAGACGGCATCGACGGGAACTGGGCCGCAACCATGGACGGCTTACAAGATAACCAAGGATGTCTATGACCTCCGTCAAAAGTACGGATACTGCCTTTGGTGCAACGGCGTCATGCATTTGACCGCACAATGCCCTGAAAAGGGCAAGACACGCGTATCCCGTCCAGCAAACTCGGGAAACTGAGTTACGCAAGGAGAGGGGCGACGTCTCTCCTCGCTCCGCCGGAACCGGTTGCCTTGCTAGCAATCGATGTCACTACCGGGGAGCATGCGTTAGTCGCTGATTCTCGTGCTACGTACGAGGATTATGCCACCCAGCTGGTACCACCACTAGACCAGCCGAGCCACGTGCACTTAGATTGCGTATGCGCAGCCTGTTCACCGTCGGCAAGTGATCCGGTCAGTTCGCCACTGATTTCCGAGGACTCGACGGCGTGGTCAACACTTGAGGAGCTTGACCCGCTCACGAGAGAGGACTTCGCTTGAATGCCACTACCCTCGACCGAAACATTGCCAAGGCCACATTGCAATGCCTTGATGGCAAATCTACGCGCCTATTTGCACACTACAGTACCAGCTCCGTTGACGGACGACGGGGTAGTGGTTGTCGATCTCCGCTCCTATCTTGCGAAGATCGACCGCGAGTACGCCACCCAAAGGTACGCCGAAACCGACGCTCCTTTGCTCTATATCCGCATTCAAATCGGAAAGGCAACCTGTAGTGCCTTGATTGATTGCGGAGCATCTCGCAACTTTATGAGCCAAGTCTTTATGGCCCGCGCAGGTCTTGGCCCGCGCGTTCGAAGGAAGACGCAACCCACGCAAGTTACACTCGCGGACGGCCGCACGCAAAAGTCGATTGACCGATGCGTCGACGGCGTTCCGGTATACTTTGCGCCACTTGCGTCCGAGCCGGTGTCTTTTGACATCCTCGACACCAAGTTCGACATGATTCTAGGCATGTCTTGGTTGCGTAGCGCCGATCATCCGGTGAACTTCCATGACCGAATCGTTCACATCCGTGATCGGAACGGAGTGTTAGTCCCATGTACGGTTGCGACCCCTCACACTTCGATTGCTTGTCACGTGGTTTCCGTTGCGAGAATTCGCGACGCCATAGCTTGGAATGACGTCGAGGAGATCGGCCTTGTATTCTTGCATGCTCTCCCCTCGCCGGACAGACCAGCCGCGTCACCGCCGGACCCACGCATCGCTCACCTCTTGAACGAGTATGGAGACGTTTTCGAGGCGCCCACCGGAACGGTTTCGGATCGGCCCATACGTCACGGGATCACTCTCGAGGCTGGCGTCGTCCCTACTCGTGGATGTATCTACCGCATGAGCGAAGAGGAACTCGAAGTGCTTCGCGCACAACTCGATGATCTTCTCGACAAGGGCTGGATTCGCCCTAGTTGCTCGTCATACGGTGCACCTGTTCTCTTCGTCCGGAAGAAGAACAAAGATCTACGGTTATGCATCGACTATCACAAACTTAACGCACAAACCGTAAAGAACGCCGGCCCTCTCCCTCGGATTGATGATCTCCTTGAGCGGTTAGGCGACGCAACGTACTTCTCGAAGTTGGACTTGAAGTCAGGTTACCACCAGATTGAAATCCAGCCTCAAGATCAATACAAGACCGCATTCAAGACGCGGTACGGGCATTTTGAGTGGTTTGTCATGCCCTTTGGCCTCACCAATGCCCCCGCAACTTTTCAAGCAACTATGACGACTGAGTTTCGCGACTTGCTCGATCGCAGCGTCCTCATCTACCTCGATGACATCTTGGTCTATAGCAGGACGTTGGACGAGCACATCACACACCTTCGCGCTGTTTTGAATCGTTTGTGACTGGCCAAGTACAAAGCGAACCGCGAGAAGTGCGAGTTCGCCAAGCAAGAGCTTGAGTATTTGGGCCACTATGTTACGCCGAAAGGCATTCGTCCCTTAGCGGATAAGATCCAAGCCATCGTGGATTGGCCGGAACCCCGTTGTACGACGGATGTACGCTCTTTCATGGGTTTGGCTGGATACTATCAGCGATTCGTCGAGTCATACTCGAAAGTGGCCACTCCTTTGTCGAGACTTCAGTCCCCGAAGGTGCCCTTCGAGTTCGACGACGCAGCCCGTGGCGCGTTCACTACGTTGAAGGCAGCAATGCAAGTCGCAACTGCCCTCCGTATATACGACCCCACCCCACCCACCCAAGTGACTACGGACGCTTCGGGATACGGCATTGGTGCGGTGTTGGAACAGTGTCACGAGGACGGTTGGCATCCGGTCGAGTATTTCTCCCAAAAGGCGTTCATCACCGTTCTCAAACGGTGGCGCCACTTTCTTCTCGGCCGTCGGCATTTTAAATGGAATACGGACAACAACCCGTTGACCTTTTACAAAACGCAGGACACGGTCATTAGCACGATCGGTCGATGGATGTATTACATCGACCAGTTCGATTTTGACCCGAGCCACATTCCCGGTCCCGCCAATCGAGCTGCGGACGCCCTCTCACGACGGCCCGACTTTTGTGCCATTGTGACCACAGCATTCGACCTCGATGACGATCTGCAGCCGCATTTCGTCAAAGGCTACAAGTTCGATCCGACTTACTCTACGCTATATGCAGAGCTCTCATCGGATCACCCGCCGGCTAGCCACTATCGGATTTCCGACGGGTTCCTTCTCCTTCACACGAGAGGAAAGGACTTGTTAGTTGTGCCCCAAGATCGCATCTTACGGACTCGTCTTCTCGGCGAATTCCACGACGCACGACTTTCGGCACACCTTGGCGTGAACCGCACGTTAGCACGCCTCCGCCAGCATTTTCACTGGCCCGACGTCCTTCATGACGTCACGAGGTACGTTGAGTCATGTGCAGTTTGCCACCGTAACAAGGGTCGATCTCGAGTCCCCTTCGGCGAACTGAAACCGTTGCCGATTCCTCGGGCACAGCGCCTCTCCATTGCTATGGACATGACAGGCCCGTTCCCCCGCGATCGCCACGGCCATGACGGTATTCTCACGGTCGTTGACCGTTTGAGCAAGTATGCTCRCTTCCTTCCTTGCAAGTACCATGCTGCAGCACCCGAGATCGCACGACTCTTGCACACCGGTTGGATTACCAACCARGGTGTTCCGGAAGACATAGTGAGCGACCGAGATACTCGCTTCATATCGACCTTTTGGACTTCCCTCATGGCTGAGTCCGGTACGACTATGAAGCCGAGCTCGGCTCGGCACCCGCAGACGGATGGCCAGACGGAGCGAGCGCACCAGACCGCTCAGATGATGTTGTGTACGCTCATCCGTCCCGACCAGAAAGATTGGGTTGACCGGCTTCCCGACATCGAGTTCGCCTATAACACTTCGGTGCACCCGACGATCTGCGTCACACCATTCGAGCTACATCATGGTGGAGAGAAAGCACGGATCTTCGCTGATCTCCTTTTGCCACAGGCTGCCGACATAGACGTCCCTTGCTCTTCAGCTTTCGTTCGGAAGTACCGGGACTTGCTGATCAAAGCCCGAGCGAATATGCAAAAGGCTCAAATCCGCATGCAACAGCAAGCTAACTGACGTCGACTTCCATGTCCTTTCCGCGAGGGAGACCTTGTTTGGGTCCTCTCCGAGGAATTTGCGCTCGAGCAGGATGTTTCGTGCAAACTCCTTCCGAAATGGTTCAGACCATGGGAAGTCACTTTTGCCGTTGGAGACGACCCTGCAGGTCCTTCCTTCGTGATCAACATTCCACCGCACCTTACAGTGCATCGGGTCTTCCACGCGTCGAAGCTGGCCATCTACACGCCACCTTCAGCTGACGAGTTTCCCGGACGTCGATCACATGATCCACCTTCTATGGACGGACATCAGGAAGTTGACCGAGTCATCACGCACCGCAAGTATGGGAACAAGCCAATGCAGTATAAAGTCACATTCAAGCAATGTGCGCCTGACGACACTCAGTGGATCTCTAGTGCAGACTTGCAGGCTTCTGCACCCCTATTCTTCGCCGACTATGAGAAGACACGACTTGCCAAGGCAGCAGCTCGTCCCACCCGACCCATCCCAGTATCGGACAGACAACTCCGCCCTCGCAAGTAGCTCGGTCTTTTAAGAGGGGGAGTGTGTTACATCTTCCACGCCACACGGGTCCTACCGGACCCGACTTAGGGC